CGTCACCGTGCTTAAGAGTATTCCAACCAAACTGAGAATGCCAGGCATCCCATCTACACGTGGAAATCACAGAGATGGATTGTTGGACAGGAATGTGCACTCTCTCTCCCTGGAGGGACGCATCCTGCTTACCTAGATCCGTAAAGTATCAGGCACAGGTTGGCAAGAGCCAAGGCTTGGGGACCCCAGAGTGTGCGTTGGAGTAACTTCTGGAGTCTAACGAGCTAAAAACACAGAGCTTGCCATTGAAAGCAGTCCTGGTTCCCATTTAAGGACTGGCCACCAGGGGAGCTATTTTGGCCAAGTCAATTGCCTGCAGTAAGTGTCTGGGAGGGGACAGGAATGAGATAAAGTGAGTAACATGGGCAGATGAATTGCAATCATGCAAACAGTAACTATTTGTGTAATCTCTAGATTTAAATTGTCAAACTAGCTGGGAAGGGCTAGATACAAATCTTGGAAGAAGTGTACGATAAAATATTGTTTACATGTCTCACACACTGGCCCATTGATGGAGCCCTCAGTTAGAGAGACCCAACCGGTTTTAATAAAAGGCTTGTTTCAAAATTGGGAGAGGGTTGCATTGTGCAGAAGGGATCTCTTTTAGATGAACCTCTCTATCTGTCCAGGTGGATGTTAAAGATCCTGTGATGCTATTTCAACAGGGAAGGGAGTTTCTCCTGTTTTCCTAGCTAACCGTTGAACCCACGAACATAACAACAGAAGACATGCTAGATGAAAAAAAGACTAGTTCGCCTTCCACTTTCCTGGCGGTCGCATGCGCACGTGTCCCAAACTACCTATGTACTATTCGCCATGATGTTATTTCCTAAAAGAAAACTACCTAATCTGTGTTTGAAAGCACCAACACTTCCCGCTTCAACCATCTCCCTAGGTTCACTATTCGCAATTCACTTAGTCTCTCCTCATAGTCCAGTCCTTCCATTCCCTCAATCATTTTGGTTGCCCTCCTCTGTATCTTATCGATTTCTCCAATATCCTTTTTGTACTTCGGCGACTAGAGCTATACAGAGTGCTCATAAGTGTGGTCTCACCAATAATTTATACAGTGGCATGATTACCCACTATTTCGGTTTGCTATTGATCTCTTGATATCTGGTTTGCTTTATTCGCTGCCACAGAGCATTGTTGGGAGAGCTTCAATTTATTGTCAACCGGGACCCCCCAGGTCCTTTCCATTTCACATACATATTATTTTCCTTCAGTTTAAATAATAGTCCCTTCCAGGATTTTTTATCCCCATGTGAAGTACTTTACATTTCTCCACATTGAATTTCTTCTGCCACCGATCTGCCCAATTCCCAAGTATGTTCAAATCCTCCTGTAACCTATCTTGTTCAGCTTCGCAATCTACTACCTTCATTAGCTTGATGTCACCTGCAAACTTAGCCACTGGGCTTGCGACTCCTAGTTCCAGATCACTGATAAAAATATTAAACAAAAGAAGTCTCACAACAGACCCTTGTGGGACTCCACTGGTCACATTTTCCCAGTGTGATGACATTCCCTATACCAGCACCTTCTGGGTTCTTCTGGTCAACCAGTTACGTAACCATTGTAATATACCTCCATTGATTCCTGCTTTCTTTACTCTCAGTACCAGCCTCTCAAGAACTGTATCAAGGCCTTACTGAAATCCAGATATACAACATCCACAGCCTTACCCTTATCAAGCTCCCTTGTCACATCGTCAAAGAAAACCAGTAAATTAGATTGGCAAGACCTTCCCTTCAAGAACTCATATTGGCTATCATTTATGATTTTATTTCTGTCCAGATGCTCCATGATTTTATCTTTAATAAGAGTCTCCATAATTTTACCCACAATGGATGTCACACGTATTGGTCTGTAGTTTCCTGGGTCACTTTTGTTACCTTTCTTAAAGATAGGAGTAACATCTGTCTTTCTCCAGTCCCCCGACACCACTCCAGTATTCAGTGATTTTTGAAAGATTTGTGCCGGCGTTTCTGCGACTTCTTCCCTTAGTTCCTTAAGGATCCTCGGATGCAATCTATCTTCCTCCTTCTCTTCCCCCCATCCCTATCACCCCCCTTCTCCCCCCCAGCCAAAAGGTTGGACCACCCTGACCATAGACTATCATAATTACACCCTATATAAGTTCAAAGTCGTAATGTGGGGCTTGAATCCACAACTTTCTGACTCAGAGGCGAGAAGTGCTACCAATTCAGCCAGGCTGACACCTCTGTTATCTTTCAAGAGGGAACTAAATAGACATGTAAAAAGGACAATAAAAGGGGACTGAATGGATTGCTCTTTCAAAGAGCCGGCAGCGCGAACGAGACACTAAATGGCCTCTTTCTTTGCTGTAAATTTCTATTCTTCAATGAAGGTGGGGGTCTTGTGCTGGGTATCAGAGGTGCCAGAAGCCAATAACCTTCCCCGAGTGACTGTGTTTCCTTTGGGACTCTAAGCAGTGGGAGGCTATAATGCATCATGTGTAGACAATGTGCAACTGGCTTGTGTGAGAGAGCTGAAATCACAGACGCCCTTAAGTGTGTAATTAAGCAATGAAAAGGACTTGTTAATTATGTGATTTGCAAACCAACAAACTGCCTTGGAGCAGGGGTTCCCGTGAGTTGGTGTGACCGATTTTCAGATTTCCAACTCAGAACTCCGTTAAGAAATAGCCTTCCCTATAATATTTAGCGGTCAGCCTGTCTCAGGTCGTGGCACTTTCACCCCTGAGACCAGTGGTTGTGGGTTCAAACGGATTCCCGTAGCATAGTGGTCAGCGCACTCACCTTGCAAGCGAGAGGACCCGGGTTCAATTCCCAGGCAGGGCAAAACATTGGGCAAATTTCCTCACTCCGCACGCCTCTGTTTACCTAGCAGTAAATAGGTTGTTAGTCGATTGTCGAATTGCTTTCAGAGGTAATAATCCCTCACTAAAAAGTAATGTAGTCACTCAATCCATGACTGTTTGTGGGACGCTGCTGTGCTCAATTGGCTGCACAGACAAATACACAGCCAATTCACTTGACAGTATATTCGGTGAAGTGCTTTGAGATGTCTCAATGACGTGATAAGGCACTCTATCAAATGCAAGGATTATTATTGGCTTTTTTTAACCCCGAGATGGGATTTAAACCCACAACATTTTGACTCTGAGACAAAAGCACTGCCAACTAAGCCAGGCTGACAAAGCTCTTTGTTGTTCATTGCTAAATGAGGAAAGGGAATCGGACAGATTGCAGAAGGTACAAATGTGTAGGTGTGGACGTGTGTCGAGACTCGTGTCTGCTTTTACAGGAAACGGGTTGTGTAAACAGAAATGAAAATACTAGGGTTTGTTTCTGTTGCAATGAGACATGTAGAAATGGATTACATTTTTGTCCCACCACACCTCTATCCCCTCAAAAAATCCTTAACGTTTTTAAGGGAACTACCATAGAAATATACAGCACGGAAAATAGGGGATGGCTTCCCGGGGTAATAATTCCCTCATTCAATCCACGACTGTTGTGCAATTGGCTGCTGCATTTCTAGAAATCCTCTTTCTAGCACCTCTCTATCTTTGATCTCCTTTTTGTTTTGGTCAGTCGGGTGTCTGACACCCACGGAAACCCACAAACTGAGAATTCCCTGCATCCCACCTACACACGGAAATCCCAGAGACAGATTATTGGAATGGATTGCGCACTCTCTCTCTCCCTGGAGGGATGCATCCCGCTCACCTAATTCCAGAAAGTATTAGGCGCAGGTTGGCAAGAACCAAGGCTTGGGGGACCCCAGAGTGTGCGTTGGAGGTAACTGCCATAGCAGCTTCCCCGCTGCTTGAACAGCTAGAATCACCATCCTTCCCCACTTCCCTGGTACTCTCACCTCTTATCACATGCCCCACTCCATGCCACTATCGCTTTCAGTTTCTGTGCCATTAACCCCTGGATCTCCCTCCTCTCCCGACGCCTGCAACAACAACAACAACTTGGATTTATATAGATTTACAAATGTAATCTTGTTGGTGTTGCTAAAGTGAACAGGCACTGACGGGACCTCAGTTTAACATCTCATCCGAAGGACGGCATCTCCGAAAATGCATTGCACGGGAGTAAACTTTCTAAGTTTATTTTAAAGTTAAATAAAATTTATTTATAATAATAATAATCCTTGGATTTGACATAGCGCTTTTCACGTCTTCTAGACGTCTCAGAGCTCTTTACAGAATAGACTGTAAAGTGAATTGATTGTATATTTGTGGGCGAAACGCGGCAGCCAATTGCGCACAGCATGGCTTGAAGTGACCAATTTATTATTGTTTTTTTTCTTGAGGGATTATTCTCAGGCGTGTGGAGTAAGGAAACTTGCCCTGGCCGGCAATCAAACCCGGGTCTCTCGCTTGCGAAGCGAGGGCTCTAACCACTGAGCTACAGGAATCCGAGCTACGGGACTATTTAACTGGCCCCGGCGTTTCGTGTATTCTGTGTATTCTGTGAAGCGCTTTGAGACGTCTCAACCACGGGATAAGGCGCTGTATCAAATGCGAGGATTATTATGATTATGCTAAAGCTGGGGATTCAGGCGGTATTCAGCGAGTCAGTGAGTAAAGAGCTGACAGGCATGTCCTGTGAATGTGGTGCTTTGACGGGGTGTGGGGGCGGGAGTTGGCGTGGGGAATGGGGTGGGGAGAGCCTAGGGGATTGATTAATATACAAACAGGGGCCAGTGAATTCCTAAAGGGTTGGTAACCTTAGAGCTGTAACAGGAAGTGATCTCAATGGCCTGGTTAATGAACACACCTTTTGAACGAGCACCTGACTGCAGATAATGTAACTACCATTGCTTCGGAAACAAGAGCGAGAGAGAGAGAGAGAGCGACAGACGGAGAGAGGGAGAGGGAGAGACGGCCGGAGAGAGAGAGAGAGAGAGCAAACCAGAGAGATCGAGAGAGGAAAAGCAAAGAAACACACAATAATAGTCCTTGCATTTTAATATAGCGCCTTATCACGTCACACTAGGGGAAAAGAAACGAGAGGAGTGTGTGTGTGTGTGTGTGCGGTGACCATGGAGAAAGCGGAGTGTTCCAACTGGGATATGGGACTGCTCAGGGCCTTCGACTCCGGGCAGTTTGCCGGCTGGGAGAAGGTGGGCTCGGGAGGTTTCGGGCAGGTCTACAAAGTCCGGCATCTCAACTGGAAAACGTGGCTGGCTATCAAGTGCCCTCCCAGCCCGCACGTCGACGAAAAGTGAGTGTTTCCCAGCTTTCTGACGCGTTTGGGCGGGCGAGAGGTTGAAACGTGAGGCACGATTCCTTGCTTACTCCGCACGTCTCCGTTGACCTACAGTAAGAAGGAACCTGTTTGGGACTGTGCCCTGAGTGAGGGGCGTCATGTATAACGCAAAGTTGTTGTTGTTAGATGATTGACGGATTGCTTTCCAGCGGGTGGGGGTTTGGGGGGTAATCCCTGCAGTAAAAATAGGTAAATAATAATAATCTGGTCACTCAATCCGCGACTGTTTGTGGGACGCTGCTGTGCGCGATTGGCCTCCGTGTTTCGCCCACAAAATGTACATCAATTCACTGTACAGTATAATCTGTGAAGCGCTTTTTCGAGACGTCTCGAAGACGTGATGAGGCGCTGAATCAAACGCAAGGATTATTATTATTATTTTGCTCTCTTCCCCCCCCACCCTCCCTTCCCCCATCTCTCCACCCACTCACCCAACCCGATCGCTCTCAACAACGAATTACACCTGTATAAGCACCTTTCACGTCGGAAGGACGTCCCCAGGTTGGGATTCTGTGATGGGGGCTTCTTCCCCAATCCTCTCTCCGTCTCACTCTCCCTTCCCCAGTCTCGCCCACTCCCCTCCTCCCCATTCGGAAACCTGACCACTTACCATCAGGTCTTTGGTTACCTCCCTGACACTTACCCCCCACCACCACCCCCCCTCCCACACACACTCCCTGCTCCCCACCCCCTACACACTCCCCCCACCTCCCACCTCCCACCTCGCTCGTTCTCTCGCTCCATCACTGTGAAGAAGCGCTTTGGTGGGTGGGGGTGAAGGGGATCGCTGTTGTATGTGAAATTTTCTGCCCGGGTATAAATTGTTTGCTTGTTTATGTTTGGTGAGTGACGGAAGGCAGGGGTGGGGGTGATTGTGGCGGTGGTGGGAGGGGAGAGGGGAGTTGGGAGGAAGATGTTTTGCTGCTTGTTTGAACCTTTACCTGCACTGAGCATAGGCAAAGTACCTTAACCCTTTCTTCACCCAATCCACGACTGTTTGTGGGACATTGCTGTGCGCAATTGGCTGCTGCATTTCGCCCACCAGATGTTACAGTCAATTCACCTTGTATATTCTGTGAAGCGCTTTGAGACGTCTCGCAAGATAAGGCGCTGTTTAGTGTAGTCTAGTGTTTTTAGTGCGACGTGCCTTAGCCCTTCGGGGTCACCGAGGAGGGTGGGGTGGTGCTGGAGGGGACGCGGGGCTGGGAGTGGGTGGCTGATTTTCCCCGAAATCACCGACGCTCTCTCCTACAAAAACAGTCACTGCGTCCGACGGTGAGAGCCGCGAAGCGCCTTCGAGACGTTTCGGCCTGATGGAGGCGTTGTTAAAACGCGCTTGTGTTCCTGCGAGCTCGGCTTTGTTCCCACTTGTACGCACGGGCGGAGCAGGCCAGAGCCCGCTGAGCGAAAGGAGTGGGCTTGTCCAGACAGAGTTAGCAGGTCCCAGGGGTAGGGAGGAGCAAAGGCCGTGGAGGGCTCTTTGAAAGCGAGGACGAGGAGACTGGACTCTTATCCTCTGGGAGACGAGGAGCCAGTGGAGCTGGGCGAGGGTGAGCGGGATGTGGGGTGGTGGAGTGGTATTAGGGTCGCGGAGCTTGGTGCGGGAATTAAATATGTAGTATATTTGTACCGGGCTGATTAAATATATATCTGAAGAGGAGAAGGTGTACGAGCTTGCCTGGGGCAGAAAGAGCAGGGTCTAAAGGGGATAGCTCTTTCAGACGATAACAACTTGCATTCGTGGAGTCCTGTAGCTCAGTGGTTAGAGCACTCGCTTTGCAAGTGAGAGACCCGAGTTCAATTCCAGGCAGAGGGCGAAACCTTGGGCAAGTTTCCTTACTCCACACAGAGCCTAATAATAATCCCTCCAAAAAACCAAAAGCAATAATAAATTGGTCATTTTCAATCCACGACTGTTTGTGGGACATTGCTGTGCGCAATTGGCTGCCGCGTTCGCCCACAAATATACAGTCAATTCACTTTACAGTGTGTTCTGTGAAGCGCTTTGGGACATCCTCCCGACGTGAAAAGCGCTATATCAAATGCAAGGATTATTATTATTATTATTTACGTAGCGCACCTCATGCAAGTTAGCATCCCAACCGGGCGCTTCACAATTGGGTCCAATGGTCATTGGGTTCAAAGACCCCTCGCGTGTGGTAAAAAATTCTGTCATCTTGGGTTAGTAAGAGGAAGGAGTGTTGCGCATTGAGCCAGGCTGACTCACAAGTGTACCTTTCAACCACTTGGACAATGCCTGACATTTGCTTTCCTATTATTATTACTATTATTGTTGTTATTATTATTATTAATAATAATATTACTATTATTTTACGTGAATAATAATAATAACAGTAACAGTCCTTGTATTTTCGGATCGCGCCTTTCGTGTTGTTGAAACGTCTCGGAAGAGCTTCACGGGATATGCCGTCAAGTGGAGTGACTGCGTGTGACACCCAGTGGTCGGATGCCGAGCAAGGGAGGACGGGATGATGAGCGTAACAACCTGCATTTTATGTAGCGCCCTTCACGCTGGGCAGCGTCTCGGAGCGCTAAACAGCGACGGAGCCTCACGGCGAGCTGGAGGGAAGTGAACGGGTGACCGTAAGCGACGGTCAAGGAGGAAGGTCTTCGATCGTGATTTGAAAGAGGGAAAAGGAATGGGCGAGGCGGAATTCTGGGATCAGTTGTAGTTTGTGGGTAGTGGAGCTGGGGAGACCGGCGGGCCAAGAGGGCTCCGGAATAGTCTAGGCGGGAGGTGACGAAGGTGCGGAAGAGGGTTTCGGCTCGGTCGAGTGTGAGGTGCGGTCTTAAAAAAACACCCAAGTCTGGACTTAAAATTCATATTGTTTAGGCTGATGCTCCAATGAGGTCCTGGGGCTGTAATGTCAGAGGTTCTCGGGCGAGACGTTAAACCGAGGTCCCGTCTGCTTGGTCAGGTGGACGTTAAAGATCCCGGGGCGCTTCTCGAAAAGAGAAGGGAGTTTCTCTCTCTACCGGTGTCCTGGCCGACAATCCCCCAAATACAATGCACTCACTCGCTCGAAGGGTGTTTTGTGCGGTGCGCAAATCGGCTGTTTCATTTGCTGTATATTCTGGGAAGCGCTTCGAGACATCCTCCTGAACTGAAAGGCGCTGTGTTGAGGGTCTCTCATCGCTGCCGCTGACAGACTGATGATATGAGCTGCTGCCTGAGGTCACCGGCTCGGAGGTGATGGTGTTTGGGGGCAGTCGCCAAGTTGCCTCGAAGTGACCTACTGAAACGACGCTTGTATTCAAAGCCAGGACTATTTCCACTCTCCCCTGATCACTCGGCATGTGTACTCGGCCAGTACCTGAACCATGAACAACAACTACTTGTGTTTACATCAGCATCAACTTGAGTTTATATAGCGCTCTTCACGCTGGGTAGCGTCCGTGAGCTCTTGACAGTGGCAAAGTCTGACCCTGAGCCAGGGAGAGAGGGAGGTGACCGTAAGCACCTTACAGGTCGGGAGGAGGTCTCAAGGAAAGTCTTGATATGGGCCTTGAAGGAGGCGAGGCTCAGGGATGGAGTTTCAGAAGGGCCTGAAGGCTCGACCTCCAATGGTGTGGGAGGCAGGGCGGGTACCAGGTTGGTACAGTGTTAATATGTCACAGAGGTGGGGAGGTGTGAGGCCATGGAAGGCTTTAAAAGTGAGGACAAGGATCTTAACCTGGGGAGCCAGTGAAGGTCGGATTTGATCCCTGGCCTAACCTCCTCCAGTTAACTTGCCCGACTCCCAGCTTTTGTCCACCCATTGAGCTTTGGGCTTCTTCCACAACCTCCCAAAGGGCATGTGTTGCTAGGCTAGTCGATCAGTGAATATTTGTCTATTAGATATCTATTATATATTATATATATAGTCTTGTAGTAAGGATTCGCTTTGCGGGTTTGATTCCCAGGCTGGGCGAAACGTTGACCAAGTTTCCTTACTCCACACGCTGCTGTTTACCTAGCAGTAAATAGGAAACTGGTTGTCAGTCGATTGATGGATTACTTTTCGGGGGTAATAATCCCTTCAAAAAAGAAAACAAATAAAAAAAAAAAAATTTTGGTCACTCAATCCACGACTGTTTGTGGGACATTGCTGTGCGCAATTGGCTGCTGCATTTCTCCCACAAATATACAGTCAATTCACTTTACAGTGTCTTCTGTGAAGCGCTTTGGGACGTCCTCCCGACGTGAAAAGCGCTATGTCAAATGCAAGGATTATTATTATTATTATTAAGATATTACAGTCAATTCACTTTGTATATGCTGTGAAGCGCTTTGAGACGTCTCGCAAGATAAGGCGCTGTATATCAAATGCAAGGTTTATTATTATTACACAGGGTGAAGGGAATAGAAGGGTTCAGGAGGGAGAAGGAATGGTGGAGACTCTTGTGTATAAACACCAGCATGGGCTGGTTAGGCCAACTGGCCCATTTCCTCGCTTTAAAGTCCCTGTAAATCTTTGTAAACAATGGAGGGAAGAAGCTTTTTTTGGGGGCGACGATCAGATTTTGCCACCGAGTGACTTCAGCACCACTCTGTTATAAGAATAATCATTTTGTGGGACGCTGCTGCGCGCGATTGGCGATCGCCTTTCGCCCACAAATTACACAGTCAATCCAACTTGGCAACATGTTCTGTGTAGACATTCCCTCGGACGAGCTGTTAAACCTTCTTCCGGCTGTTCAGGTGGACAGTAGAAAAGATCACTGCGCTTGAAAGCAAATATCCCCTGTGAAGCGCGTTGAGACACTTTGAAGTTAAGTGCACTCTATTAAATTTGAGGATAAGTAGTGATATCAATAGTTAGTGGTATAATGTGTGTCTTGGGTCTGACCCTGTCTTGAGCGGAATGCACGCTCTCTCCCAACAGGGACACACCCTGTTCACCTAATCCTGAAAGGTATGAGGCAATTGTTGCCAAGAGCGAGGGTTTAGGGAA